CTCAGGGCACTCCAAGCCAGGACTGCTTTGCTGTCCCTCATCGAGTTAGACAAGTGAGCAGGGAACCCCTGAGAACTGTCTGTCCCGAGTGGGGGGGTCGGGTCCCTTTAAGCACAGCCCTCGGCTAGCCTGAGACAGCAGCTCCACGCTCTAAGTCCTAATCTGATGCCCTGCCGGTACTGCTTCCGGCCATCCTTAACCCCGGTTCAGAGTCCACTCAATGTGGACATGCTAGTTCGAATTAGCAAAACGCTAATTCGAACTAGTTTTTAGGTCTAGATGCACTAGTTCAAATTAGCTTAGTTCGAATTAGTGCTGTAGTGTACACATACCCTCTGTGTGTCATATTGGCTTGCACAAATAGCCAACACAGTAAACTCCAAGAGAGCCCCCAAAGACCACAAAATCAGATAAGGATTGAAGATGCCAACCAGGTTTATTGATAGCCAGATTTTTTGTTAAGCAAAGTACAGTAATAGTTGTCAGTAGACTCTACCAAATTACTATGCATATGTAACTCCTGACAATGGACCAACTCAGTCAACCAACCAACTCATGGCTGGACAAAGACAACTCTTTGTGGTACATTTTTATACACAGGTACAAACAAGTTGCACATCACTCCTGGACTGTGTCTACACTGGGCCACTTATTCCAGAAAAGCAGCTGCTTTTCCGAAATAAGCTGCAAGCTGTCTACACTGGCCCCTTGAATTTCCGGAAAAGCAGTAACGATTTACTGTAAGAAATCAGCTGCTTCTCCGGAAAAACTATGATGCTCCCGCTCAGGCAAAAGTCCTTTTTCCGGAAAACTGTTCTGGAAAAGGGCCAGTGTAGACAGCACAGTAGTCTTTTCTGCAAAAAAGCCCTTTTCCGGAAAAGCGTCCGTGGCCAATGTAGACGCGCTTTTCCGGAAAAGAGCCCCGAGCGTCATTTTCGCAATCGGGGCTTTTTTCCGGAAAAGACTACTGGGCTGTCTACACTGGCCCTTTTCCAGAACAGTGTTCCGGAATAAGGACTTATGCCCGAGCGGGAGCAGAATAGTTTTTCCGGAATAGCGGCTGATTTTGTACAGTAGAGCATCGTTGCTTTTCCGGAAATTCAAGGGCCAGTGTAGACAGCTCGCAGCTTATTCCAGAAAAGTGGCTGATTTTCCGGAATAAGAGGCCCAGTGTAGACGCACCCATGGTGTGGGCCCGTAGCATCTACCTGATCATTATGTTATTTTTGCATTGCATCTTTCCTCAAGGTCTCAGCAAGCTGCCAGAGATGCCGCCCCCTGGAAGTGCCCTGTTGGTTCTGCTCTTGAGTGCTGCCATTCTGCCACTCTCAGGCTCCTATGTTCTAATTCACCAAACTAGCTCAGGAGGCCAGTGCCAAGATGCTTGTGAGAATCGTGGTTATGATTACACCTGGTGCAAGCAGATAGGCGGCAACAAGAAGAAATGGGACTACTGCTCCTTAGAGCCAGGTTTGGATGCCTTTGGCAAACAGTGTGCAACTGCCTGCGAGCTCTGGGGAGCTGATTACAACAGCTGCTATTTCAAGAATGGTAAATGGGGCTACTGTGGACTGTTTACCAGATTTTATCATGCCAGGTATTCCCAAAGCAACAAGCTGTGTGTCACCCAGTGCCGAGCAACCCAGGGCATTTTCCAATGCAATACACTTGAGGGCATCGAACCCTGTGCCCCCTATCCTGATGTGACCACCAGAGGCCTTCCCTGCCACAGCAACTACCGATGTGCCCACTATGGGCACAGTGAATACCGGTGCCACACTGGTGAAGAAGACGAGAGCTGGGGATACTGTGGGAAGAAGAGCCTGGATGAATGTGTGTGGATTGCCCACCAGACCAATGCTTCACAGGCAGAGTTCTGCATACTTAGCTATGGCCAAGGAGGACAGCAGATCACTTTCCGCAGAGAGAGGCAACACAACTTGGTTCATCCTGCCACAGAGGAGTTCCAAAATGCCACCTACCTTATTGACAGCATTACCTCCAGCACCAGCATCCCTGACCCTTGGGTCCTGGGCTCAGTGCGTCTACAGAAGCTGGAAGGAATCTTTTGTAAGGGCATCAACTACACTAACCTGGAGGTGCAAATAAGCAAATCCACACAGTTATATTTGCCCATCGCTCGAGTCCTCTTCCCAAAGACCCTGGAGGCTGATGAATTCCTGCGCTTAGCGCTGTACACTAGTCTCCACAGTGCCTTTTACCCGCCTGCTTACGTCATTGTACTAACTCTTCGTGACCCAATGTTGTGCTCCATTAACACCAGCGACACGCAAAACTCATCCTACAGGCTCCATGCTTGACACTGTCTATTTTGTGTTGCTGACTTCCCACATGATCACCACTCATTCAGATACTGCACTATCACCTCTTATCATCTCTCTGTAAAGAGGGAGCAGAAAAAGCTCAAAATTATTCATGGTGTGCTGAACAGTGAATCAAATACTGATGATTCCGAAACTGCATTCAGAGAGCTGCCTATTGGTAGTAGTTCACTTTTCACAGTCCTTCATGCAGGGTTGTACTATACTGAATCTGCTTGTCCACTAGTTGTATTAGCCTCTCTCCATATGAGCTTGTATTTGTGAAGTAATTATAATCTCCCCTTGGCATACGAGACACATTTCAAATAAAGGAAAAAAAATCTGTGATTGTTTACTGTAATTACCTATTTACATGCAGACAGGCCTGGTGATGGGGGGCAGTTTGTGCTTTGAAGGGGCCCTGGGCTCCCACTTGCTGCTACTGTGGCAGTGCCCAGAACCCTGAACCCTTTGAATCACTGCTGGAGTGCCATGCACTTTGTGCAGTTATGAAGGCTGGGGTGGGCAAGAGACACGTGCCACGTTCTGGGTGGCATGGAGGGCTGGCTGCCCTGGGCTAGCCTTTGTCCCTGCCCATTCTGGGAGCACGGCACCAGCCTCCCCACCTTGCCCAGGGGCGTGCAGAGGCTATTGGCTCCCCTGAATGCAGATTAAACGTATAGATTTATTTCCATCGGATTAGATGTACTTTGACTAAACAGTGCTTGGTATTTAAATTCCTGTATACCAAAACTGAAGACCAAAGTTGTTAAGCAAACAAAAAAAAGGGGGGGGATGCTACGCCTTTAACTGACCCTACACGCCTCACTCCCCCGCCCCCACCAGACACGGCAGCGGAAAATTGTCCCCGCTGGGCTTTCACGTGTCCGGTATTTTCTGTTTTTTGTACCCCCCAGCCCCCCCCCAGTGTTCCCCCATCCCAATGTACTCATCCCTGCCTCACATCCAGTCTCCCCTAGTGCCCCCCCATCCCAGTGCACTCCCCCAGAGCTAGGCATCCCCAGCGTTGGGAGCCCCCGCCCCAATCATATCTCCCTCTGCCCCCCCGGAGAGCCAGGCACTGCAGGAATGGGAGGGCCAGGTAAGTTAATCTTACTTTTAAAGTGGCTGCTCCTGCAATCAATGTACTCATCCCTGCCTCACATCCAGTCTCCCCTAGTGCCCCCCCATCCCAGTGCACTCCCCCAGAGCTAGGCATCCCCAGCGTTGGGAGCCCCCGCCCCAATCATATCTCCCTCTGCCCCCCCGGAGAGCCAGGCACTGCAGGAATGGGAGGGCCAGGTAAGTTAATCTTACTTTTAAAGTGGCTGCTCCTACAATACGTGCACGCAGCAGGCAGCCCCTGTGCAAGCCTGGGATCCTGCTGGACACACACATCCTGCCACAAGGAGATGCCGGCCAGATGCCCTTCCATTGGCATTAATGAGCATGAGGGCAAGCCCGAATCGAAAAACTGGACTCAGCCCATATGAAATCCTGACAGGGCGCCTGATGCAATTACCAGCAGCGCCCCCGCTGACCCTTGCAAAGATGGACATTCATTTAATGGATGATATCATGCTTAAGTATTGCCAGACATTAATGAAGTGTGTTAGGTCCTTTTATTCACAGGTAAAAGAAGAGTTACCCAAAGACCCTGAGCAACCGTGCCATCTGTTGGAACCCGGCGACTGGGTCTACATAAAGGTCCATCAGCGAAAGACTGCTCTAGCCCCATGCTTTAAAGGCCCTTACCAGGTCCTGCTGACCACCAACACCGCTGTGAAGTGCCAAGGGCTGCCTACTTGGACCCATACTTCTCACTGTAAAAGGACCACTCCACCTCGAGATGACTCAACTTCGACTACTGATGGGTTTGTCCCTCTTCCTGTTCCTGTTTCTTCTCCTACTAAATAGCAGGAAACCAGGGCAAGGTGAAGTGCTAGTAACCTCTCCCTTGCCCACTAACAGAACTACTATACCTCTGGTATATGCCAGAAGGACCAAAATGTTACAGGGTGATGTGCTAGCAACCTCTCTCCTGCATGATGCTGAATTGCTACTATTTCAAGAAAGAAGAAGAAAAATTAGCTCCCCTGGGCAAGGTGAAGTGCTAGTAACCTCTCCCTTGCCCACTAACAGAACTACTATACCTCTGGTATATGCCAGAAGGACCAAAATGTTACAGGGTGATGTGCTAGCAACCTCTCTCCTGCATGATGCTGAATTGCTACTATTTCAAGAAAGAAGAAGAAAAATTAGCTCCCCTGACACTGCCAGGCTACGTCTACACTGGCCCCTCTTCTGGAAGGGGCATGTAAATTTCACGAGTCGTCGTAGGGAAATCCGCGGGGGATTTAAATATCCCCCGCGGCATTTAAATAAAAATGTCCGCCGCTTTTTTCCGGCTTTTAAAAAAGCCGGAAAAGAGCGTCTAGACTGGCCCCGATCCTCCGGAAAAAGTGCCCTTTTCCGGAGGGTCTTCCATGTAGGAATAAGACCCTCCGGAAAAGGGCACTTTTTCCGGAGGATCGGGGCCAGTCTAGACGCTCTTTTCCGGCTTTTTTAAAAGCTGGAAAAAAGCGGCGGACATTTTTATTTAAATGCCGCGGGGGATATTTAAATCCCCCGCGGATTTCCCTACGACGACTCGTGAAATTTACATGCCCCTTCCGGAAGAGGGGCCAGTGTAGACGTAGCCCCACAGTCCAGAACTTTTTAACAACAAAGGACATTAAGAACTGGTCCTGGTGGAAAAGGCGGAGCATTATACACTGGCAAGGAGGGACTTGTGGGACCCGCAGTTGGGAGTGTGGTGTTGAGTGGTTTGGTAGGTTTCTTCCAGGAGCTGCGATCTGTGCTTATGGGCAAATACCAGCAGAATGTACTGCACTCCCCAATTGTCTTTCAGACCAAAAACACCTTGATGCCACTGTCCTTACTATCTCCTCCACCTCCACTGCCATTCCGGTAACATCCCCAAATACTGATGATACTATGTATTTGTCAGCCAACGGTCAGGGCAGTGAGTGGTGTGTGTGTGTGCTATACACCCGAGACTTCAACTGCTGAGACCGGGGTCCCTTGCAGTGGGCAACCTGGAGGAGGTTGACGGGCGCCCCAATAAGTTTACAGGGAAAGCTTATTACACTTCAGATTTTAGCTGCTAGAATCCGTGATTCCTTCGCAGCGGGCAGCCTGGGGGAGGCTGAGAAGTGCCCCAACGGATCTGCCACCTGGGAGTGACACAAATCCAAACACTCAAGCTCTCCCTATATCTGTCCCTTAAGACCGGCTGAAGTTCTTTTAAATTGTGCCTGGTTCTGTTACAGCAACTGAAGGAGTCAGGTTAAAGCTTAAACAGTTACAGGTTTATTGAGGAAGCTTATAAATCATATGGTTGCAATGGCTATTGTTCTATTTCTTAACTGGTGGCAAATATATATGTATAATACATGTATAATATATATATGTATATATGTGTAATATATACTTGCCAGCAGTTAAGAAATAGAACACTTTGTGTGGCATTTCAAATTATTTTAACCCCTTGCTTGCCATTCCTTGCTGCAGCTCCTCTATGGTTTTGTAAGATAGGGTCATCCAGAATATTAGCACTTATGAAATGATGTACTTTATCTTCAAGACATCCTGGGAGTTGTATTTCTGACCTACTTGCAGGTACAGGAGACATCAGCTAAATCAGAAAGTACAAGAATAAATAAAGGCTATGTCTAGACTGCAGGCTTCTTTCAAAAGAGGCTCTTTCGAAAGCATCTTTCGAAAGAGCCTCTTTCAAAAGATCGCGTCTAGACTGCAGGCGGATCTTTCGAAAGAGAAATCCGCTTTTTCGAAAGAGAGCACCCAGCGAGTCTGGATGCTCTCTTTCGAGGAAGCCCTATTTACATTGAAGAACGCCTTCTTTCGAAAGAGGAACTTTCGAAAGAAGGCGTTCTTCCTCGTGAAACGAGGTTTACCGCCATCGAAAGAAAAGCCGCGTTCTTTCGAAATAATTTCGAAAGAACGCGGCTTGAGTCTGGACGCAGGGGAAGTTTTTTTGGGAAAAGGCTACTTTTCCCGAAAAAACCCCTGAGTCTGGACACGGCCTGAGTGTGCTTCTGGATGTATACCTTTGGTATATGCCAGAAGGACCAAAATGTTACAGGGTGATGTGCTAGCAACATGTCCCCTGCATGAGGCTGAATTACTACTATTTGAAGAAAGAAGAAGAAAAATTCGCTCCCCTGACACTGCCACAGTCCAGAACTTTTTAACAACAAAGGACATTAAGAACTGGTCCTGGTGGAAAAGGCGGAGCATTATACACTGGCAAGGAGGGACTTGTGGGACCCACAGTTGGGAGTGTGGTGTCGAGTGGTTTGGTGGGTTTCTTCCAGGAGCTGCGATCTGTGCTTATGGGCAAATACCAGCAGAATGTACTGCACTCCCCAATTGGCTTTCAGACGATGAATACCAAAAACACCCTGATGCCACTGTCCTTACTATCTCCTCCACCTCCACTGCCATTCCGGTAACATACCCAAATACTGATGATATTGTGTATTCTGATGAAATTCAATGGCCAAGGCCGTCACATCTGAGTGACTTAGCTAAGTATTGTCTGGAAAATCTATTTTTCAAGGTTCTAAATTTTTCATTTGAGCGAACAATTGAATGGAAGTCAGATGGATCAGTAGAAATAGGGGTTTATGATATTACTGTACATGAACATGAGCCATAAAATTCTAGCATTGAGGTTAGGGGGTTTTCTGATGGGGTTGACATGATGGCCATCACCGGAGTTTGTAGTTTGTTGACGGGAAGGGGGCCCTATTGTTATTTGGTTACCCAATTAGCAAATGGCCAAATGCAGACTCAGAGAATGTGTTAGTCTAATGGAAATGTTACCTGTACTAAGATAATTCCCCTAACTAATAATCTTACCTGTGCTATCTTGCAATATACTCCTTCCTATGCTATTGATATTAGTGTTGCTCAAAATTATATTAGAGTTTTTAATCAACAGATGTGGTACGATACTGTGTCTAAAATAGATGATGAGTTAGGATATCGATGGACCATAGTTAATGCCACACTAGGGACTGTAAAATTTACACTGCCTTTGCCCAGCTTTCAGGTTACCTCTTTGTATCCTAACTGTTCTAAGGGGGCTGCCATTCGGTTAGCACAACAGAGGGCTTGGGTTTCCACTAGGAGGAAAAGGGACTTGGAAGACCGCCTGTGGGATGGTTCCAATAGTGCAGCAGCAGTGTGGAACATATACAGGGGCCAACAACATGAGGAAAGGCTGGGACAGATAGAGGAAGCTACAGGGCTTATTACTGGAGCACAGCTAACCCAAGTTCAGGCTGGAATTGGTGAATTTCATGTTCTCTCCGCCCTCAGCTCAATGACCCAGGACTTGCTGACAAAGATGATACTGGATATCACTGAGGTGGAGAAGGTATTGCAGTGGGATCTGGCTTGTTCAGAAATTCAAGATTTCCTGAATGACCAGCTGATGGCCATCCGGAGTGATCTTGAACATCAGACCTGGCCCACTGCCCTTGCAAATGCCTCGGGGATACCGTCAGAACTGTGGCCATGGAGACATACTTGGGAGATTTTCAGGGTGCAGATGCAGGCACTCACAGTGCTCCTTC